AGTTACACATTTACTTTGAGGAAAGTTTTATTGAGATTTCTACGATGCTATATCAATAATCGTTACTGGTGTTCAACAATGGTGCACGCATTATCAGGCTAAGCATACCAACACACGTACATGAACATAACGGTTAACAGGAGGTAGCTGTCTCCCTGGTCAAAAAGCACACAAACATGCAACTCTTACCAAGCAGCTGACTAAACATGAAGTCATTCAACGAACGGAAATGTTTAAGAAAAAAGTAAAATCACAAAAATACCGAGCTCAGAGAAAATTCAAAACGGAAAGTCCTTAATCAAATGACAAAATCAAAAGCTCAAACGCATCAAACGAATGGACAACAACTATCATATTACTTACTTGGTACAGGCATTTTCTTATGTAGAAATGGTGGATTTAACCTGGTTTTATAGATAGCTGAACCTCTCATTCGAATGACAGTAGCATAAAATTCCATTATATTGACATTAAAATAATCCAACTCTCGGCAAACAAGGAGTAAGTGTATGACAGATTGGAATTTTACTGCAATACTTTTCTGGATTATCAAAACAAAATATGAACTTCAAGCAAATTGAGGTTAAAGTATTACTTACTGCCTACAACATTCAGAAAAGTCTGACTACTTGAGCCTGTTCCTGCTGCGTTTGTAGCAGTACATACGTAATTCCCTTCATCCGCCTCTGTAGCATCAATGATAATCAAAGATGGAGATTGTACTGTAGATCCACTGTACTTGTTAAAGTTATTTGTACTCATATCAACTGTTATTAGAACACCATTTACAAGTTTTTGCCAATAAACGTCAGTGGCTAAAGGATTGGCAGTTACTTGACAACCAAGGACAATTGTTCCTCCAAAATTCACGGAATACGTGTTAGATAATACTTGAACACTTGGGATATCTAGAAAACAGTTAGGTTTATTAATCGTTGATTTTTAAGACATTTAAATATCGAACTAGGATGTAGTTAATATAGAATAATAATAGAGAAGGTATGATTGCAGCGGTACCTTTATATTTGTATAGACAAGGTGCAGTTTGACCTTTAACATTTTGATTGTACAGGTCACTATCGTTAAAGTTCCTGAATAAGTCTCAATATGGCTATATAAAAATAAGATGATGTGGTATGATTGCCAATGAGACAACTATCCACCAAAAATCAGAGAAGTGGATGTAAACGATTACAGGCAACCGTACAGCCTTCAACAATCAGAAAATCCCATACCGAATGGTCGGCTTTAAAAGGCCCGGACTGTATCAGTTTCAGAAGGTACATACTTATTATCTCTTTTATTTCATCTCTTCTGATTTGGGAATAAAAAGAGCAAGTATACAGAGGAATTTACACATACAATTTTTTTTTAACAGGAAATATCTTTCTAAATGTTTATATAAAGTCACAATAGTCCAGCTGATTCGTGCATATTTTAAAAAGAATTGTGAGTTTGATGATATAAGCATGAAACTTTGCACAATTGTAGATCTATATATGGTTGTCAATTAAAGCTATGAAAAATCTAATATGGCGGTCATTTTCAAGATGGCTCCCAATCAGTCAACATTTCACCACCATGTATAAATTAAAGCAAATAATATTCAAAACAAATCTTTTAAAAGCATATGCAATGTAATCCAACGTTTTTTGTAAGTCATGGCGGTATATTAGACTTTACAACTTTTTTAAAATGGCCGAAAATTTCAAAATGGCCGCCAAAAATTGAAAATTTACTAAACTAAGACAAGGCTCTGCTGATATTCATTTCTTTCATCGAAATGCACTTTGCAGTTCATACGATGGTCTAGGGATTGTGTGTCCATGATACATCGATGCTGCTTGCAAGACAATTTAATTAGAGATCATAAATGGAAACATTCGAACCATTTTAGGACGCCTTAGGATTTGTTTGACTGTGTACAATCTAAGTCACAAATGATTATTTATATGTTCCTCTTCTCCTTGTCACAATCCTTTCTTTTTCTTTGACTGTGGATCAAGATGATCAATAACATAATACGACTCATCACCGAATTTCTACTTCAATGAGTAACACAACTCGTGCTAACAGTTGGCAAAAAACTTCACCCCTTCTGGAACACTTGCGTTGATCCCTAGTTTTCAAAAAAGGGACTCTTGTTTGTTATGCTTTTAATGTTGTTGTATTTGTTCTTCATTTTTTAATGTCTGTGTGTGTTGTTTACCAGTGAAAGTCGTGTTTATCCATCGTACAGACATGGAAAACCTTCTTTCACTTCAAACTTTCACATTTGTTCAAGTTTTAGGTACTTTACATATACCACCATGTTTGTTTGGCGATACTGGTCATGACTCATCAAGCTATTTAAACAATAGCATCTAGGTAGCTTACCTTTCTTGAGCACCTGAGATCATCCTCTGTTTAATGAGGGGTTGGCGTTGTTCAATTTTTAGATTGTTTGTGTAGAGATGTCTTGACTGATGTTAGTCTTTTGGTTTTGTTTTATCCATTCTGTTGTCTGATTTTGTTTTTCTTATGATTTTTGAGTGACTTGGAGTCTCCTTCATCTTTTTTTATGATCTAAAAGTTATCAAAGGTACCAGGCTTATAATTTGATACGCCAGACGCGCGTTTCGTCTACATAAGACTCATCAGTGACGCTCATATCAAAATAGTTAGAAAGCCAAACAAGTATAAAGTTGAAGAGCATTGAACAGCAGTTTCCAACATGTTTATTTAGGACATCCCATTTAGTTTTTGCACAACTTCTCACCACATTTTAAACAGCACTGTGCATAACATCATTGTCCTCATTTTTGTACCGTTTTAATATCCTTCAACCACATTTTATTAGCTCATTTCAAAATGCTGATACCTTCGTGATAATTGTCAAGTAGGGCATATGCCATCCGTATTCCCTCGAAGTAGCACTACGGATAAAAGGCCGAAACATTCCCTAACCTAAAGCTTTCATATGCTTATAAGGTGGATTGAAACTGGTTAATTACTATAGACATTTCAGGACAAGACACCATATCTATATGCTGTATTTGTGCGATATTAATGGTCAATCAGATTGCCCAACCTTCTCTTTTGACAAGTATGTAATTCTACTCATGGCTTGATCTAAATTTTCCATTTTCAAATTACGTTTGCAACACTCGACATATTGCTGGATTGTTTTCATGAAATGTCGAATCGTAGTGACAGATTTTATCTTTTCCTGAAATATTGTTCAATGCGGACTGATAGATAAAGACGGATGGTCATTTGTATTGCCTCTTCATGCGTGGAATGATGTCCAGACATACTTAATGTTTTTATAATCATCTGCTTCAAGCAATCTCAGTAACTTATACATACCATGTAAGGATAGAGTTGCACAATTGACTAATTATACCAGGTTTGCATACATGCATTTCTGGTTAGAAAATTGACACTGCATGTCCATAAAACGGTTATTACTAGATGTAAGTATGAAACTTATGGTTATATTTGGTTAGTGCTAAGATATATCTGATTCTTTACTAATATTTTTAGTTACTAAGTTAAAGTAATAATACGAACAGTTGTGCTGGCGCGTAATATATTGGTAAAAGTACCAGAGAATATAAGAGAAATGCATATATTTCAAAGCATTAGGTTATGACGAATTAGCCAAGTTAGACTAAAAAATGCTGAAATATGGAAATGTTCATACCTGTTGTTGTCAATATTGTTCACGGCTGCTGTTGTGAAACCACCAGCATTTGCGGAATACTGAATATTTCATCGATGGAATCTTTTAGTACTGTAGATAATTGGATATTGGATCATACGTTAACGACCCATACGTACGTTTTGCATTAAGTGCCTCCTTTACAGTTCCTGTCATGCACTAGAAGGGTCATATACATTAAGAGATGGTTCTAGTTAAATGTAGCATTAAATAAGAATAAAACAGAAGTAAATTCGAAATGGATAGCGTCGTATTTGCCTCAATGGAATAATTCGAATGCATCTGAATATTTGTCCAATCGATAATCAACTAATGTTTTTAATGACTGTGGAAAAGATTTTTGCCTACATCATGTCTTTTGGAACTACCTGCATGTGGAGGTTACTCGCGTATCGTTGTCATACAAGCAGATTGTTGCAATTGTTTGTTTAATTGCAACACAAAAATAATCATTAAATAGAAGAAGTAAGCAACTGCCTTGTTAATGGCATGGCAAGCCTCAGATTACAGCAATTTTGTTTATATCATTACTATGCCGTCTTCCATCAGATCATTAAGAAAACTGTTCGAGTCGAGAAGTATTCATTCTATTTAAGTCTAGTTTAAATATTGGGGAAAAAAACCAGTATCTATCCGTGATCCCTCGTTGTAGACTACATGTCTGCATAAATGCTACCGTAGTTACAATTTTCTATATTTTCTTCACAATCTTTTGATGTTTGGCTTTAGTATAAAAATATGGCATACACGTTGTATCATATGGCACTTAGTTTTACTCAAGGTACGTTTAAACAAAACACTCTGTAACCTTATATAAGGGATATTAGTTGAGTTTGATATCTTATGGCGGCCATCTTGGAAAAAGCCGCCATTTTGAAATTTAAATTTGGGTCCATATGTTATATTATTTGAAGCATTCAGCATTACTAGCATTCCAAATTTGAACTTATATAACTGATATTTGTTGATTCGGATATTTAGAGACGGTCATCTTGAAAAAGTCGCCATATTTAAATTTCAAGGTGGGTCTATAGCTTATATTTTTCGAAACATCCCGCACTACTGGCATGCCAATTTGGCCTTGGATTTGACCTTATATAAGTGTATATGTTGATTTTGATATTTTATGGCAGCCATCTTGAAAAAAGCCGACATTTTGATATTGCAAGATAGGTCCGTAGCTAATATATTTTGAAACAACCAGAACTATTACCATGCCAAATTTGGCGCTTTTATCATCAAACCCACATTTTTTTCAAACATGTGCCGGACTACAATTATCTATTCGTTTACTGACCTCCAATCACATCTAAAAATGTTTGTTGACTACTTCCAGTACCCACACTATTCTGAGCATAACATTGATAGTAGCCTTCATCAGATAACTCCAGTGCACTGATAGTTAGAGATGGTGAACCTACAGTAGAACCTGTATACCGTACATTGTTCATATCTATACTTGTCATTTGTCCGTTTACTAGTTTCCGCCAGTAAACACTGGTTTCTGTGGGGTTAGCTTGTACTGTACACACCATTGTTACAGTTTGCCCGTAGTTAGCAGAATATTGATTCTGAGCAACAGTAACTGTAGGAATATCTAAAAAAAATATATGTGTCATTGAATATTCTCTGGTTGAACAAAGATAAAAAGTTTGAAAAAATGCGAAAAGAATGATAAGAAAAGAAGAGATATTTGCATTGACGAAAGAACGAAACATCATACAAACGAAGCACAACACCTACACGCACCAAAAATAACAAAATAACATGTGAAATAGATAAAAACTATTTAATAATCACCCTTAAAATGGCTATACTATAAAAGTATAACAAAAACACCGAACTCCAAGGCCAAGGCCAATTCTAAAAAGGGAAGTCCATAAATACTGTGGCTATGAATCCACGAAACAAGTGAAAAACAATTGCCATATTTATCAATCCTTTAAATAAACTTATTCTAAAAGATTACCAATTCGACACTATAATCATATATTCAAATATTGTGTTTATTGGTATGATTATTGATTTTGCTATCATTAAATGAAACCATACTTAATATTATTGTTATACACATATATACTTTCACGGGACTATAATCTGTCGATACCAATACTTCGATATTGCACAATGTCTTGTTTTTTTACTGTTACTGACGTCTTTACACGTAATACCCTGGCAGTATCGATCTGATGAGTTCAGTCCTTTTCAACTGTTTTATATACTTATATTGTGCTGTAACACCACTGTCCCGGGTTAGGGGAGGTTTAACCCCACCACATTCCTTATGTGCCTGTCTTAAGTCAGTGGCACGTAGTTCAGCGGTTGTCGTTGGCTCATGTCTGACATATTAGTTTTATCAATTGAATAGTTTCATATTTTTAATGTCGGGGCCTTTTATAGCCGACTTTACGGTATGGTTTTTTTCTCGTTATTGAAAATCACACTGTTGCCAATAATTGCTTATATCAACGTCATTTGAACTTTGGTGGATAATTGTCTCATTCGAAATCATACCACATCTCCTTATTGTTATGTAATAGGTCAACGTGACAATGAATGGGACCATCAGCCAAAACTGTTTAAACACACTTTCGTTGAGGATGCTTCATAAAAAAAGTATTACATTATCATACATCAAGTCAAATTATAAACAGTAAAATAACAAAACGTTTACAAATAAAGAGAAATGTGCAATAAAATTTCTAAAAGGCATGACTCAAAAAATTAAGCGGTACATGAAAAACTTACTTCCCGTGACGTCTAAGAATGTCTGTTGACTGGTTCCGGTTCCAACAATATTAGTTGCAGTACAGATATAATTTCCTTCGTCAACAGAAACAGCATTACTGATGGTGAGAGATGGTGTACTGACAGTGCTACCAATTATTCTGGATCCATCGACTATTACTGTAGTAAGTACACCGTTAACGATTCTTTGCCACGTGACTGAGGTATGAGCTGGGTTAGAGGATACCGTACATTGCAATGTTACTGTACCGCCAATTAATACTGAATATATGTTGGAAGATATAGTAACCACAGAAATATCTGCCAAAGAAAAAGTAGTTTGTCGCTATAAAAAAATGTTCCAAACAGCAATTGCTACTTCATTCATATTTCGCAAAATTTTCTTTCAAATAAAAACAATAAAATTGGTAAAATATATGAATATTGTCGGCCAATAACAATCTTGAGATAATTCTTTGAATTCAAACTTGATTGTAATATTGTCAAAAAAAGAAACAATGATCTAAGACACAAAAACGTTTAATATCTAATAAAATATACGTTTGTAATTTACCCCCAATAACATCTAGGAACGTTTGTGAACTTTGTCCCGTGCCAACACTATTGGAAGCAAAGCAAACATAATTGGCCTCATCGTTTAAATCGGCGTTATATATTTGTAGGGACGGGTTACTGACTGTGGAACCACTGTACTTGTTGTTACTGTTTACTACATCAATATCTGTACTAACGCCATTCTTTATCTTACGCCAGTAAACGATTGTATGAGCTGGATTTGCTGTGACTGAACATACCAGGACAGCAGAATTACCGTAGTTGACGTTATATATCGTCTGCTGTACAGTTACTGTTGGTATATCTGAAATTCATCAAACTCTTTATTTTACCAAATCTCAGGTTTTTAGATCCATTCTTCATGTACAGTCATGAAGAAACGAAATTTTCTGGGAAAATTTCTTTAAAAAAGAAAAAAAAATCAAGTCATGAAATATTTATAACTTTGTTTTAAAAGTGTTCTGCGGATTCTTTTATTTTTGATGATTGAGGAACTATTCTATTTACTTGGATATTTGTTTTTGTCTGCATACACGCCTTTAAAAATCCAGAGGTTAGGGGTTCTCTCCGGCCACTCTGGCTTCTTCTATGTATATCATATTGCATGCTTTGAAATAAGAGGACATGCAGTTTTAGAGAAATTTTGATAAATGTAACTTAAATAAAAACGATTGTGACGGTGTTCTTTTTTTCCTACAACAAAATAATGATAATATTGATTAATTGCTTGTTAAATGCGGAAATGAACCATCTTTCTTTTATTTAAACTATGCAGGGTCTAGAAGGAAACGACAGCGTGGTTTCTTCAAACATTATATCTAGGTACGAAGATCTACTTATCTATATTTAGAATTAGGTTTACGACAATTTGACAGTATTTAATATTTGTATTATCATTACTATACTATATATAAAAATATTAATTTTCGCGAACCATTTACGTCACGGAAATTCCATTTTTTGCCATCAGTAAGGAGAGTTGTACAAATAATGTGAATACACAGAATCCCGATCCAATTCATCTTTTGCTAAAAATATGTATTATTTTCTGTTTTGTATCTCCTAACATCATTCCATTTTCTCTAGTTTCGATTAAAATATGCCAAAACCTGCAGTAAAAATAGATGCATGCCCCAAATAAACATTCCCCGATTGGTTGAACTACTATGGCGTCGATGTAAAGCAACGCAAGCCTCGATGTAAAGCACACGCTTCCCAAAAAGGCAAGAGTAAAGGAGAGTTGTTCAAATAACGTGAATACACAGACCCCCGATCCAATTTATCTTTTACTAAAAGTGTACATCATTTTCTGTTTTGTATCTACCAACAACATTCCATTTTTCTATAATCCCGATTTAAACATGTCAAAACCTGCAGTAAAAATAGATGTATGCCCCAAGTAAACATTCCCTGATTGGTTGAAAAGCTGTGGCCTCGATGTAAAGCAACGCAAGCACACGCAAAAATTTCCGTTGATATGTTGAACTTCGTCTCCGGGATTCAGCCGATTCACAAAGAGATTTTCTTGCGCTCAAATATAATTCGAAGTGAAGTATACTGGTAAAGTAAAATTGTATTCTTTTACAGAATTATTCACACATTTATTCATTAATGTAATGTCATGCTTCTGCATATTTACGCTGAGCTTTAGTTAAATATAATTCCATACAAATTTTGTTACGTCAAGCATTAAGAGTAAGAATATTTCGCGCCAAAACAAGAAAATAACTGTATCACCAAATAAGTTTATCAGCATCTTTCTGAAATTTTCCAATAGAAAATAGCGTTTAGTATAGAGAAATGTTGGTAAGTATTACTTATCAATGTTAAGGTTCTCAAGAGGTGGTTCTCTAGACCTTCTTAGCGGTCAATTTAATCCCATTTATCAATTATATCCCCGATGACAGAATGGCAACCCAGTCGATTTGTGTCATGAGTGGAAATCTTATCTATTTTATGGAATAATTTCTTCATTAACTGTATATGCAGCATTTTTGTATTTTTTGTTAACCGTGCACATACCATTTGCATTTATGCAAGATAAATGGGTTGTGTATGTGAAATAACGATAATGGCGGACGATAGAAGTTTGTTACGTCAGTGAGCGATCACGTGACATTATTATTTGTAAACAAACGGACTCGTGTAACACGTGTAGGAATTATCCATACAAGGTGCAATCAATCTTACATTTCACTTTTTGATGATATTTCTGTGTCTGTTAGTAGGTGTTGCAGATCAGAAGTCATAGTTTCATTGTACCAATGATACTAATGTTGCTGTTCAGTAGTTAGTTGTGAAATCTTTTATAGAATTAGAAGGTAAGTAAACTAATTCTGTGAAAAATGACAACTCTACCTGTATTTTTTCCTCAATTTTTGAAACACGCATAATATTACAGAGCATTTGCTTCCCTTGAACACCCCCCCTTCACCCCTCCCCCCTTTCCCCAAAACTCTCATAGTACGAGATAACTCTGACGTCCAAAGGCTGTTTTGCGATTCCGACATTTAAACCTTTTTTTTCAAATGGATGTCAAGTTACAAGAGACTACGTATACACGGCCTTGAGACTGAAGTATGCTAATTTCTGCATTTAACGTTTAGTAGCCAACCTCGATAACAATCGGAAAACAATCTGCCATTCAGCTTATTTGCATCGTAAATGAACGAAGCGTTAGATTATGTATTCATATTGACCCAGGGTCATATGCATAAATCAGCTCCCATAATGCATTGTAAATTACTTTTTCTCGTTTCGTTTATAAAATATGTAATTTCTTTTTGTAAACAGCCGGTGGTCCATTCGTGTTTGTTAATTTCTGATTAAATTACTGTTCAATTAAAGCTTGGTTATGGTAGGGTATGTTTGAATTTATATTAAGGTATGGATTAGATTTTGATTGATAAGGTTAGGGTTAATTCAAATAGCCTTGTATAGTTCGGGTTCCCCAGAAGTAACATAAAATATGTTTAGACAAATTTACGTTCATTCCTATACAAAAACAGCAATGTATGCATAGATAAGATTTAAGTTCACAAAATCTTTCCCTAAAAAAACTTCTCAAAATTCCAAATTAGATATGCGGATAAGAAAGGTGTATGAATTCAATAACTAAGATTTGCATTTTATATCATGTTTTAAACAAAATTTTGTAGGAAAATCTTACTACATTATAACACCAAATAAATGAATAGTTTCATTTAATTTTAATTCTGAAGGCTGATTAAAAAAAGAACAATCTGCTATACTTACTACCGACAACAGTTAATGAGGTGGATATACTCTGTCCAGTTCCAACACTGTTTGTAGCATAGCAGATGTAGCTAGCTTCATCACTTGATGCTGCATTGTTGATAGTCAGGGATGGAGTAGAAACTGTGGAACCGGAGTATTTCCCGCCACTATTAGTGACATCGATATTGGATGTTGTTCCACCTACAGTCCTTCGCCAGTAAACTTGGAAGTGAGCAGGATTGGAGACAACTAAACATACAAGAGTTATCGAACTGCCAAAGTTAACTTGGTAGTTTGGGAGGCTAATCTGTACTGTTGGGACACCTACAAAAGAAATGTATGCAATATATTGCCACCATCTACATAACAAGTACTACTACAACTGAATAATCTTATCACAGGAATAAGCATGTAGAGTACAACCATGGTAAAAACAAACATATTATGATTTGATTTTAAAAGGAAAAATTACTCAAAGTAACAACACTGGCAAAAAAACATGTGAAAATATATTTTTTTCTTTACCTCCTTGTACATCAAGTGATGTCTCCCGACTTGAACCAGTTCCTATAGAATTGGTGGCGAAACACTGGTAATTGCCTTCGTCACTAAAGTCAACGTTGTATATAGTTAAAGATGGTGTTACTGTAGTAGATCCACCATATTTACTAGGATTGGATGAGGGCCCTATATTGGTTGTCTGACCGTTCATATCACGGGTCCAATACACACTAGTAACAACAGGGTTGGCGGTAACAGTACATCCTATTGTTATGGAATTACCCACTTGAACTTGGAAATTAGATCCTCCAATTGTCACAATGGGGACGCCTGGCAAAAAATTAGGATTTTTACATTAGAACTAAATTGATAAAGGATTAAAAAAGTATTAATCAAATTAAGTCTTTCTATTCAAAACAGAATCATCTGACGTTCTTTCTTTCTCATAGAGAAATTTAAAAGAGTAAAGTTATACTACTTGTAAATTGTTTGTTTCAAACTTAAATAAAGCAACATCTAAACATTATTTACGTATCAAGGAAAATAAGTTCGGAAATCATAAAACAAATCTGTGAACTATATCCAAGCAATGCGATTATCATATAATTTACGCCATCACGAATTAGTTGATCTATACGATGTTTCTAAGTCTAAACTAACTGACGACATTTTTATCGCATCTTAGATTGTGGTTTATCATCTACGTCGTCTGGTCTTTTAAGTACCGAACGTGGCCTATTCCCGAATATGACTGTTTTGCTGAGATTGTTTTTGCATTGTTATTAGACGTGTCTAGGTATTTGTACATTCAAAATTCATGTATTTAGTTATGATGTTTTATTTGTAATTCTGATTAGATATTGTTTTATGTCTTATCGTATGTGGTTTTGATTCTATTTAATTTTCTATATGTATGTAAAAGTAAAGATATTAATCACCAAGTTCATTTGTATGATCTTTGGTTTAAAGCAACTATATGCACAGGATTTATCTTTTTACACAACTTGATTTAGAAGAAAAACCGACTTTATTAGAAAAAACAATTAATTACACCATTACTAACACAATTCTATATTAATTTTCTTGTAATTGTTAGAAAATACATCAAACAACACTATTACAAACTTAATCCCGATTTTATATTCAATTCTTAAAATATTACCTGTGACGTCATTTTTTGTGGCGTTGAAACATTCGTGTGACGCACAGTTCAATATTCTATTTTGCTGTATTTGTGTACAGTCGTAGATAAAGTTTAGGTGTTCGTTGTTATTCTGTGGTTTACATGTCGAAATGTACTATTATATAATTTATTTATGTATTTCTCTGTCCTGAGTGTTCTTGTATTTAGTTGTACTATATTTCTGCCACGTAATGTTGTCATTTTAATGATATGTTTTATATTGTCATATAAGCGGGAGGTTTGGCGAGCCATAAAACTAGGTTCAATCACAATTGTTTCTTAAAATGTCCTGTACCAAGTCAGGAATATGGCAGTTGTTATCAAATAGTTCGTTTCTATGTGTGTTGCATTGGCGTTTGTTTTTGTTGCACTTCAGTGTTTCTTTTCTTCCGTTTTTTTCCTTTTATAGTTGATGTGTTTCCCTCGGTTTTAGTTTGTAACCCGGATTTGTTTTCTCTCTATCGATTAATAACTTTTGAACAGTGGTATACTACTGTTGCCTTTATTTACCTACCTCCAGTAACGTCTAAGAACGTATTTTGACTGTTAGATGTACCAACACTATTTGTAGCAAAGCAAACGTATGTTCCTTCATCTGAACTCTGTGTGTTGGTTATTGTCAATGATGGAGTTGCGGTGGTACCTCCAGTATATCTGCTGTTACCATTTATAACTACGTTAGTTTGAACACCATTGACCACCTTTCTCCAGAACACGTTAGTCTGAGTAGGAGTTCCGGCAACAGTACAAGGTATGGTTATCTGTTGACCAGTCAAAACACTGTAGGATGACTGTGGAATATTAACAGTAAGTAGGTCTGAAAAATATCATTTTTATAGACATGCTTCATTTCAAAAGCTGATGTGAAAAAGTGCAATTTGCTATAATTACTACCGACAACAAATCCTTTCTTGGTATGTGAGATCACCGAATAAGACTGAACACTGAGTTTGTACTAACACGAGCATCACGATGGGTAATACATGTGAATCAAGACCTGCTTACCCTTCTGAAGTACCTGAGATCACCATTCATATTTAAGGGGGGGGGGGGTCCAGATTGCCCAGTCTTTAGCTTTCTATGTTGTATTTCTTGTGTATATTGTTAAATGTTGTTTTTTTCGCGATTGCATTGTCAGTTTGTCATCGACTTGTGATTTGGATATCGCATTTGTATATTTACCTCATCTTCTTCCCCCCAAAAATGTGATATATATATAGGATGAAGGTTGGTGCCTGTTAAAACGTTTGTACCCGCTGCATTTGTTTGCACCTGTCCTTAGTCAGGAACATGTTGTTCAGTGGTTGTCGCTTGTTTCTCGTATCTTGTTTTTCTTTTATAGATTAGACAGTTGGTTTTTCTGTTTGAAGTTATAGAGAAAGTCCAAATAACTGTCCATTGCTGGGAAATAATGGAGCGGAGGCCCGTAAGGCCGACGCCTATTATTTCCCATGAATGAACAGTTATTTGCACTTTGGCTAACTTAAAATACACTTTAAATATTAAGAACGAATCTAAAGACTAAAACATTTTAAAGAATTTTATTTAATTTTGTAACCGTTTTCTTTTCATTTTCCTCGTGGTGTACCCAATAATCCACAGGCAAAATTAAAGATCAATCTTCTCACTTAACGAAGTATTTATGAACAGTAAAATAATAACTATAAAAAGATATTGAATAAAGTTCATCCAGATTTATGTTTTAAGTCATTGGATACGCACGTCTTTCTTGTGGTGGGTTTGAAAGGATATTTATTTTTGTCTTTAAGTGGTATTTCGGGAGTGAGAAAAAAACTAATATTTATGCATATATATTAATGGATTATGTGTGTTTTTCGTTTGATAAATCTTAAGCTTGGATGTAGAATCGTCTGAGAAAAATGACATGATACAACTAGAATAAATCTATAGGTACGTAACTCTCTAGTATAGTTTATATAACTTATAAGGATGATTTGAAGACATTTCTGAAACAAAATATGACTCTATATTTCAAACCATTTTATTACATCAAATAAAATTTAAAAAAAAACACAATGTTTCATGCATAATCCAACATTTTTTCTTCATTGCTTCGCTCATAACAACGAAAAAAAATGTTATTCATTTTTAAGAGTCTTAAATAGCAATACAAGCAAAATGATAATAAAATTGAGAATGGAAATGGGGAATATGTCAAAGAGACAACAACCCGAACAAAGAGCAGATAACAGCCGAAGGCCACCAATGGGTCTTCAACGCAGCGAGAATACTCCGCACCCGGAGGTGGTCCTCAGCTGGCCCCTAAATAAAATTATGTACTAGTTCAGTGAAAATGAACGTCACACTGAACTCCAAAACATATAAAGGAACTAAAATTAAAAGAAACATACAAAAAAAAACAAAGGCCAGAGGCTCCTGACTTCGGACAGGCGCAAAAATGCCGCGGGGTTAAACATGTTTTGTGAGATCTCAACCCTCCCCCTATACCTCAAGCCAATGTAGAATAAAGAAACACATAATAATACGCACAGTAAAACTCAGTTTAAAAGAAGTCCGAGTCCGATGTCAGAAAAGGTAACAAAAGAAACTAAGCAAAATGACAATGATACATAAATTAACAAAGGACTACTAGCAGTTACTGACATGCAAGCTCCAGACCTCAATTAAACTGATTGAAAGATTATGTCTTCATCATATGAAAATCAGGTACAATCCCTCCCGTTAGGGGTTTAGTATCATACAATCATATAATATATGAGAAGAACATAACCCGTATCATGCCAACAACTGGTTTTAAAATAAATCTGTTTATTTCCGATGCAAAGACCCTATGAGTGAATCAATATCAATACCAAAATATGCAATCTTTAATGATCTGACAACAGTATCGTAACTATATCCCTTCCGAATAAGTCTGTTTAAAGGTTTGGTTAGCTTTTGAGGTGAATGCCGACAGTTTTGTGCTTTGAATATTACCATAAAATATTGGATGTGAAATACCTGAACGTATAAGATGTCTGCATGTTGATTTATATTTACGAATGATGTCCTTGTACCGATGATAAAATTTAGTAAATGTTTTGACTAGTTTGTGATATCAAGATCCAGGAAAGGGCAGTGTTCATTGTTAGTACTAGCTTTATTTAAAGTCAGTTTGGCAGGATAATTCTCTTTAATGTACATACTGAAGTCGTCATTATTGAGAGCCAATATATCATCTAAATATCTAAAAGTGTTATTAAATTTAAGAATCAGATGTTGTTTCGATGGGTCTTTGCTGATTTTAGTCACAAATTATAACTCATAACAATACAGAAACAGGTCCGCAATAAGTGGTGCACAGTTAGTTTCCATGGGAATTCCGATAACCTGACGATATACGGAATCTCCATAGAAAACAAAAATGTTATCTATTAATAAAGAAAATATTTTTTCCTTCTTCCCTATTATCAGAAAGGAGGCAAACAATTTCAGAAAAAAAAAACGTGATTAAAAACATTTCTAGATTGCGTTTTGTGCAGAATATATGACAAACGAGACGATTTTAATTTTGAAATTATCAATTTCCCCCACCTTAGTAGCAATATACTAACTTCACCTTCATATGGGATATACCTTTCCCAACTTATTCGGTATTCAAGAGCATGCAGCAACTACTCAGACTTTGTAAAACGTCACCAGTGTCTGAGCATAAAGTTGATGAAGCAGGGGTATGTCAAAGAAAGTCTCGTCCCTTTTCTAAGAAAGTAATCGGAAGGTACCAAGACCTTGTTTATAAATATTCCGGATCAACTTCCCAAATAATACACGATGGTCTTGAAGTATAGCTTCTGGGTACTGACGGTGTTTATCATCTTAAAAACGTGTTATAGTATTCTTTTATTTGTCTTTATGAAAATTACGTTATAGAAAAAGTCCAAATAACTGTCCATTCCTGTGAAATAATGGAGCGGAGGCCCGGAGGACAGACGCCCATTATTTCGTAGGAATGCACAGTTATTTGGACTTTCGCTAACTTAAAATACACCTTAAATATTAAGAACGGATTTTTAGATCATAAAATTTAAAGAATTTTATTTCATTTTGTAATGGTTTTCTTTTCATTTTCCCCATGGTGTACCCAATAATCCACAGGCAAAATTTAAGCTGACCATCTACTCACTGAACAAGTATTTATGAACAGTAGAATAATTACTATAAAAAGATCTTGAATAAAGTTCATCCAGATTTGTGTTTTAAGTCATTGGATACGCACGTCTGTCTTGTGGTGGGATTGAAAGGATATTTATTTGTGTCTTTGAGTGGTATTTCGGGAGAGAGAAAAAACGAATATTTATGCATATATGTTAATGGATTATGTGTTTTTCGTTTGATCAATCTTGGATGTAGAATCGTCTGAGAAAAATGACATGGTACAACTAGAATACAATTCCAGGTATGTAGCACTCTAGTTTATGTTATTTTACTAATAAGGGTGTGCTCAATTCGAAGTCATATCTGAAACAAAATATGATTCTATATTTCTAACCATTCTATTAGATCAAATTATTATCAGAAAGATTGCCTTTTGTATGTCTTTAACTTAAGTGGAAAACTACTTTTTGATTTCATTTTAACATTAAGATTAACGCCGTCATTTGCACTACCGATATAACTGTTATATTTGCTACTGGACATATAACAACAGTGAAGGAATTCGATTGTGTTACGCGTTTCTGTTGAAAATTGAATAAAAAATTCCGCTCAATATTTAACATTAGCCTTATTCAAATGTTATTCATACCCTTCAAATTCTGTTCAATAGTACCATGCATATTTAAATTATAACAACGAAAAATCAAATAATATACCGAATACTCAATTTTGACCATTTTAGTTTCTTGAACTATTTATTCCATTAAGGTTCATTATAACAAACGGACAAATATGGCTGTATTTTACACTCAAAAACTACTCTGAGTACAGATTTACCTGTCCAGTTGGAAAAGTTTTAAGGCCTGGCATCCACTAGATATATAAATGTAAATGCATTTTGTGTTTCAGAAAGATATAATCTTTTTTGGTTTTTGATGGGCATTTTTTTTCCTTTCTGCAGAAGGTGTAAAAATAAACAAACACCCGAATTACTTTGATACTGTCTACTCAGTTAAACCCTTTAACTTGTCTATAGTTGTGTAGATACCTGTTGTCCATGTCAATCAAGGACAATCAATACAATACAAAACAGTTTTTACCTCAGAGGGAGATACAACTTAGTTAATTTTTACACCTTCTGCATGAAGGAAAAAAAAATGCCCATCAAAATCCAAAAAAGATTTTATCTTTCTGAAACACAAAATGCATTTACCTTTTATGTATCTAGTGGATGCCAGGCATTAAAACTTTTCCAACTGGACAGGTAAGTCTGTACTAAGAGTAGTTTTTGGCATGTAAATACAGCCATATTTGTCCGTTTGTTATGATGAACCTTAAACCACAATATTATTGTTGAATCTATCTGAGTAATATTTCTTTTTTAATTTTTTAATGTACATATCAAAATGAACTAAAATCAAAATACAACACTTTAAATTTCAAGCAAATGATATCTTACACGGTAAAATTAAAAGCAAATATGTAAGTGAAATATATTTTCTCTAATTTTCCTTATTATATAATGTTACTGTGTTCAATATTACGAAAGAATTCAACTGAGTTAACACATTTGATGTTTTGTAGATGCACAGAAGAGGACCGGCACTCAATGGAAAATATTCGTTTTTACCCGCTTGGATACTATCCGTGACAGAAATTTAGCCAAGATGTGCATCGGAAAACAAACTGTGGAAAATGTTGTTGAATTTTAGTGAAAACGATACCATATATTATACGATGGAATTACGACTCGCAAATAAAAGCTGTTTATCAATAATGAGATATTTGGTGTTCATTGTATTACTACGAGGTCATCCCAATTGAAAAATAACTCAATTTAATATCAGCTGTTTAGTAAGTTTTCACCGTCATTCAATATCGCGTTACGCCCTTTAGAACTATTTACATGGGTGAGCACTTTTTAAGAAATTGCCCATGGAAATAGCCAAAGGGCAAAACGTCCGGATGAATGAAGATGGACAATAGAAAATAACTCTCCATTCCTGAAAAATAATGGAGAGTTTGAACAAAAGATTTACGTCACAGGTGTATTTTAATTTTACTGTTTAGTCTGATTTTGGTGGTATCCATTTGACGAGGCTCTGTACTTATACATCCCGTCATTGTGTTATTGTTCTATGATAGTTTTTGTATTCTTGTCTTTCATTTTTGCTAATATGCTTTGTCTGTATGCCTTTTTGTGTTTCTTTGTCACATATGACCAAAATTTGCATCGGAAAATAAATAGCGGATAATGTTTTGGAATTTTAGTGAAAATGATACTATATATTATACGCTTGAATTACGACTCGCATATAAAAGCTGTTTATTAATAATGAGATATTTGGTGTTCGTTGTATTACTACGAGGTCATCCTTAGTTAAAAAAAAAGTTTTCATCTTCATTCAATATTGCGTTACGTCCTTTAGAACACTTTCCATGGGTGAACACTTTTTAAGAAAAAATATCGTTGTATAAAAGTACGATAATTGTTCATCATTAAAAGTTTGATTGAATTTTAAAAGATTAGATTCCACTCGATGACAGTTGTTATCCTTTCGTTTGATGTGTTTGAGCTTTTGATTTTGCCATTTGAAAAAGTAAAATCACAATACTGAACTCCGAGGAAAATTCAAAAACGGAAAGTCCCTAATCAAATGGCAAAATCAAAAGCTCAAACACATCAAACGAATGCACAAAAACTGTCATATTTCTGACTTGGTACAGGCATTTTCTTATGTAGAAAATGGTGAATTAAACCTGGTTTTATAGCTAGCTAAACCTCTCACTTGTATGACAGTCGCTTCAAATTCCATTATATTGACAACGATGTGTGAACAAAACAAACAGACATAATAGGTAAAAATGTCAATAATAGGGGTACAGCAGTCAACATTGTGTTATTATCTTGATCACTATAAAACAAACAAATATTTTAACAAACATTAACTATGGCAAAATAACACAATGAAGGGATGTTTAAGTACAGAGCCACGTCATATGTAAGGAAGAAACACAAAAAGGCATATAGACAAAGCATATTAGCAAAAATGAAAGACAAGAATACAGAAATTATCATAGAACAATAACAGAGGAATAGGAACTTTCCGTTCTGAATTTTCCTCTGCGTACGGTATTTTTGTGATTTTACTTTTTGCATAGATATGCATCCAAAAAGGTGCGATTTAAGTTGGTATAATTCTAAAATTACACAGGTTACTAAAGGAAAGTTATTACAATAGAGACTGCGTTTATATAAATCCGCAATGAACAGCACTGTTCAATTTGAGCTGATAGAATGTCAAAGTTGACGAAGGTTAAGTCATTACAACATAGGCTGCGTATTCATACATAAACAATGAATAGCACTGAGTTTGAGATGGTATGCATCTAGAATTTCAGAGTTGACCAAGGTAAAGGAATTACAATATATACTGCGTAGTTATACAACCCAAATGAATAGCACTGCGCGATTAGAATTACATGTTTTCATTGATTCCATTTAGTGACAACGATCAAATTCAGGCAACAGTAGTATACCGCTGTTCAAAAGTCATAAATCGATTGAGAGAAAACAAATCCGGGTTACAAAGTAAAACCGAGGGAACACATCAACTATAAGAGGAAAACAACGAAACAACAAAAAAACTGAAGTGCAAGACAAAATAAACGACAATACAACATACATAGAAACGAACTATTAAATAACAACTGCCATATTGCTGACTTGGTACAGGACATTTAAAACAGTATTGTAGTCTATGATGGAAATACACAGGCAAAATTTGCTCATGCGAATTTCACATGAATCTCATATGAATCTTCACTTGAGATTCACCTCAAACGAGCTTATACATGAAACTCATGTGAAATTTTTCTTGTGAATTTCGCGTGAATTGAGGTTCACATGAATCTCACGTGAACTTTGCCAAAAAAAAAAAAAGGTATTTTTCATGATTTTCATTAAATTTGAAAATTTAGACGTTATTTGAATAACTTTATTTTAAAAATTCACGTGAATTTCACGTGAAAATAATCCATGTGATTTTCACGTGAATTTCGCATGAGTTTCACATGAGATTGACGGGAAACTCACATGAACTTATTTCACGTGAGTTTCACGTATAAGCTCGTTTTATGTGAAATTCACTTGAAATTAAGGTGAGTGAAATTTCCCAGTGTAGTCAGTCGATTGAAATCTGCCTTAGTGTGGCTAGAGGTTTCAAATGTGAGAGGAAGGTCTGGTGTGCATTCATAGTCACTACGATGGTCGTTCAAACGTTTTTAAAATTACTGTTCTGACTCATCAACATACTGCTTGCCAAACTTACACTGTAGAAAATACACAGGATTTTAAGTCTTGCAATCAACTTTGCAAAATATAGAGTATTTGCACATGTCTTAAATAAAGGCAACAGTAGTGTACCGCTGTTCGAAATTCATAAATCGATTGAGAAAAAAACAAATCCGGGTTACAAACGAAAACTGAGGGAAACACATCAAATATTAGAGGAGAACTACGACACAACAGAAACACAACATGAAAATGTAACAAACACAGAAACGAACTATAATATAACAATGGCCATTTTCCTGACTTGGTACAGGACATTTTAAGAACAAAATGGTGGGTTGAACCTGGTTTTGTGGCTAGCCAAACCTCCCGCTTTTATGGCAATGTTAAATATAACATTAAAATGACAACATTACATGACAGGACTACAATACAAATAAATGGGAGAACATATAGGATAGAGAAACAATAGCTAACAAAAGGTACCAGGTTTAGAATTTAATACGCAAGACGCGCGTTTCGTCCACACAAGACTAACTAGTGACGCTCAGATCAAAAAAGTACGAAAGCCAAAACAAGTATAAAGTTGAAGAGCATTGAGGACCAAAAGTTCCAAAAAGTTGTGCCAAATATGGCTAAGGTTATATGTCTGGGATAAGAAAATCCTGAGTATTTAGAATATTTCATACTTTAAAATATCAATAATGAATTCATTTAAAAAATATATAATATGCAATATAAGTAAGATATTTTAAAGAAAACGAGGTAAAGGTTTAAGGGAAAATGTCTAAATGATCTTAAATAAAGGCAACAGTGGTATACCGGTGTTCAAAAGTCATAAATCGATTGAGAGAAAAAAAAAAGTCCGAGTTACAAACCAATACCAAGGGAACACATCAACTATAAGAGGAAAACAAAGGAACAGGAACACCTAAGTGCAACAAAAACAAACGCCAACACACATAGAAACGAACTACTTGATAACAACTGTCTTATTCCTGACTTGGTACAGGACATTTTAAGACAAAATGGTGGTTTGAACCTGGTATAATGGGTAGCCAAACCTCCCGCTTTATGACAATGTTAAAACATATCGCTAAAATGACAACACTACGTGACAGAAATATAGCACAAACACACACAAAACATTCATCACAGAAAAACACACAAACAAATAATATAATAGTCGACACAACATACAAACCGCAGAACAACAACGAACATATTCTATCAACGACAAACACCACAGGATATCAAAATCAGTGACGCGCTTACGTTACTAACATGCAATCTCGAACTTCATACAATTATTTTCACAAAAACTCGTCCAAAATATTTTCATGACAATGATGGTATGGAAAGGCAATTTTATGATTATTTGGACTACACACGATAAGACAAAACAGATTATCGAATAGAAACCATAACAGAAACATCACAAATAAATGCATGAATGTTGGATGTACAAAATACCGAGACATGTCGTATAGTAATGCAATTTCACACTCGGTATAACACCCGAATATGACAATGCTGGTATTGAAAGGCATTTTTATAATTATTTGGACATTTATTTGTGTTTACTTTTAGTAAAGCAATTTATTTAAACAATAATCGCAACATTAACTAAAACTCGTATCTGAAATATATATAAGACATACTTTATTAAGTTAGAAATAAAGAATTACCTAGAACTGTTAATGTGATCGTATTAGAGTTGGCTGTTTCTACTCCATTTGTTGCCTGACAGATATATAATCCTGTATCAGACAAAGCGATATTTGATATAGTCAATGATGGGTTGATGGTATTACCATTGGAATATTTCGAAGAAGAAGCAATATTCATCACTTGGTTATTAAAATACCAAGTAATAGATGTCGCTGTTCCAATTATAACGCAGTTCAAAGTAATAGTGGTGCCAATATTCTGTTGATACTGAGTCGGTGTGGCATTCACTGATAGAGGCTCTGCAAATAAAATAAAAACAAAACCGATGTCAATTACAACAGTGCTCTTTAGCATGAACTGATAATAGAATGACAAACATTCCTCAAAAATTCTTCAGCACACTTCAACTTTTCTGCAAAATATAAACAAAAATTTATAATAATGCTCCACAGCATTCTTCAATGAAGGATCACCAAATACTACAAAACTATTTTATTTAGCATTCAGCCGCACTCTTTAGCATTTACTGCTTAACGTTTAAAGGTCTTCAGCATTCATGGACAAAGGGAATGACAAAACCCAAAATATTCCAAATAGAATACAAGCTTTCAATAATAACGGATTGCAAATCAAATTTTCATTTAAAATGCGAAATACAATAGATATTTGCAGTTTTTACTGCTAAAACGTTTGTAAACAAAACTGTTTTCAATGTGAAATACCACATTTTTTTTAATGGGGTGTATATAAAAAATATATATTCCAAAGGACAAGGTACACTAAGGGCTACATTTGGCCCCCTATTTTGTCACAAAATCATTTTCATTAGATAAATGAACATAGCATTTGAAAAGATTTGCAAATATCAGTTTTTTAGTAGCACATGCGTATTTTATCTTTTAGAAAGCAGAAACCTACTTTTGGGCTGCCTAAAATGCTTGGAATACGTCAAAAAAGATATCATGAAATCCTTCGTTTTAAAGGGCCTCCGCCAACGGGAACCACTGTAAAAATAAGTTATTAAGATGCATACAAACGGGATTTTCCAACTAAAAAACGAAATTATTTGCTAACGGAGGCACTTTTGTTTTTAGTCTAACCAAAAGTAACAACAACTTTCGTGTTAATAGTAAAATCGGAGCGACATCGGGGAAAGGACTGAATTATCGGCTTTCGGCTGTGACTATAATAAACTGGAATCCGCTTGTAATACGTTTCACTCAAACAACCGGTACGGCCCAATCTTGTAGGGCAAAATTTTGCCCAAGAGATTTTAACGAGATTTGACGGTACTTTGTTACATAGCAACGTACAATATCCGAAAATGTAAACAAAGGGAAAAAATTGTTTCTTGTTGCATAAAGAATAAAATTAATGCGTAAAATATATTCCTATTCTAAATTTATATAAACCAATGCATTTCAAAAAGAAAATAGGTGTTGAAAAAAGTATCAATTTGTAATCAAATAAAATTCCGCTAAACTTCATGAATGATTTTGGCACATCAACGTCATAGTACACGTGACGTCATTCAAAAATCAAAGCTTTCAACTGATGGCTGTTACGATAACTCCATTGTGGATTTGACAGTAAATTTAAGGTAACGAAAACAATGTCCATAAAATTGCTGGTTTAAAAAAAAATATTTCAATCTTTTTTAGTTGATTTGTGAAAATATTTCTTGGATTGTAGCATAGCATACAATTGCATGTTAAGTAATATAGATACAATGGATAAGCGTAGATTCTTAAAAAAGAAACCATGAGCCCGGAGGGCGAATGGTTTGTTTTTCATGAATCTACGCTTATCCATTGTATCTATTACTTAAACTATTGTGTTGATTTCTTTTGAAAATTAAAGCCTTTTCTTAATTAGCAGGTATTGTAAGTGAATATAAATACCAATGTTATCATGTTCAACGATGCATTTATAAATCAAAGTTCAAAAATAATCAGTTAAAGAAAAACAACGTAACACGTCTTTCTTTTAAATTAACGCACGTATGTTCATTACTAAATTACTGTATCATTTGCCATAGCAAGTTATTTTAGAAAGAAATGATATGCGAAATTTGAAAAAAAAACCTAAACTCTACGTCGAAAAAGTGTTTACTCAATTATGTTGCTGGAAGTTGAAATAGAATACCTAAATGTAAAACGGATAACATTACAATCATTTGTAAATACTAAGACATGTCTTCTCTATAGTATAGAAATCACGTGGGGTAGACAGGGGTGGGGAGGGTTACTCAAATGTTTACATGAAATTTCACAAATCGAAGTATACAATCCTTTTAGAGTCAGTTCAAAAAAACTAAAATCGCTCAATTGAAGCTGTGCTAATGTGAATTTAAGTATTGAAAGTCTTCTGAAATGGTTTATATATTTTTAATGTCCAATAAGTACAGCGGCAATTGTACCTCTAAGATATTTGTTTTAAAGCAGTAGTCGTAAAATTATTTTAAAACATAGTTTAAACAACATTTTACTTTCCAAGATTAAATGTCGATTCATAAAATTAATTTCAATTTTTCGTTTATTCACGACTGGTTTGATATAAATATATATATATATATATATACCTTTGAACTGCAAGCTAAATATAGACAGTCTTAGAGATGATATTGTCTAGTAAAGGGGAAACTTTTTTTCAAACAAAATTTTCATATGTTTTCATTAATATATTTATTTTATTGTAATTGAATAAATATAGTGTGTATAAAAAATAGGTAAATTTTCTTAGCTTTTTTAATGATTAGTTTTTAATTCGATAAATTTATTCATCCCATTATACCTTATAATTCCTTCACTGAGCCTTCATTTAACAAAATGTACTGTCTTTCTGATTTTAACTCATCATGAGCTCTTTTCTAAAATTTATTCGGAGTAAAAATACAGAAACAATCCGAATGTGTATTAGAGTGTATTTAAGCAAAGCATATTAATCAAATTAAACATACTGCACAAAATGTTTCAAGAAGGAGATGAGATATTCTTGACGCAGAATCGTTTTTCCCAAGAACCTGATGATCCAGCTGAAGACATATGTTCCCTATTTGGATTGCCAGTTCCAGATGAATTAGAAGATATACAAACTGCAGACTTTCAATTGCTTGACCAAGATGATGTATTTAGCCTCATTGGAAACGGTAACTCAGACCAAGACCTAGAATCGGCTGAAATCGACGAGGACCTAGCTGCATGGGCTGAACAAATCGAGACCCAACATCCATCCATCGCCATTGCTGCAACTGAAACTGGTCCAGAAAACAGCAACAAAAGAATAAAAAGAATCGTGTCTGACGACGAGATTAAAAGAATTGCAGTTAAAAGGTAAAAATAAATGTTTTCTTAAATGTATACTAGTAATATAAGTAAAACGGTGGAAGGGGATAATACAAATATAATATGCATTTTGTTGGTTAACACAAAGCTGTGATCAATATATATTGCAAATAATTTTTCTTAGTTCATGTTAGGTTCCATCTTGAAAATTCAGTAAGGTGCGAGTTTTTACTCCATGTCGGAATCCTTTCTAGATATTTGAGATATAAAAAAACGGCTATAAAACTGTCGTTTCTTTGCCTTTTCCGCGTACTTATAGTAATTATGTGTCAGTTCCAAAGTAATCAATACTCCATGATTTCTTTTTTTTTTTTTAAATTTTATATATTATAAATGTTTGACAAATGTCTGGTTTTTGGTAAATAAAAATCATTTTAATAATATATGAAACCTTCCTTAACCAAGAAACATTTGACAATTTATGTTTTATCTATATAGTTATTTAGAAAAAAAATCTATAAATTAAGATTTGATAACTAATAATAATTATTTCTGATAACCTTTTAAATGAATACAGAATGATTTTGAGCTAATTTCCTAATGCATGTAGAGCAACACTTTGGTTAGCTTGCTTGCCTTGTTTATATATTGTACAATTGTAATTGGGATGAAGTCAAATCGAATTAAAATATAATATATACCGGTTTAACTATTTCAATATATATTGTTTGAAGATGTCAATCGTATTTACATAGCTTGAGTAAACATTTATACAAACATAGCAAGCAAGCCAACTGAAGTTTTACTCAACAAGCATTAGGAAATTAGCTGTAATGCTTATTTTTATTATATTTACCTTATTTCTCCTTTAAAATATATTATATCGTATCATTTTGACAACACAAGAAATTCAACAAAATATGAACACATTTCAAAGTATCATAGAAATATTCAAATTATTCAATACTCATTGCCGTTTAGTAATTATCTCCAAAACATGTAGTTTATTGATTTATTGATTATTGATTTGGCATAATATTTTATATTCGTTTTTGAGACTGCAACCCAAAAAATCAACCGAATCGATTTTGTTCGGAATCATGTTAATTAAAAGATTGACTGTTGTTTGATTAACGTCCAGTGGCAAATACTTCTTATATATTAAGTATTTAAGATGAAACTGTATGTAGTATTCAATCATTTGCGTAGAAATGAGCTATGTTTTCACTTTTAGTTAAAATCGCCGTCAGCTTAGAATGAAAATAAATATAGAATCACCGATATCACTTATGTTGCTACAGCAATGAGAAAAGGGTACTCTATGATCGTAAATTAAAATTAGAGATATGTACTTTATGTCTTCGCTTGTAATCTGACAAATTGTATTCTATTTTCAGTACTGCTGATAATACAAAGAAAAAGATGAGATGGGCTACAAACGTTTTTAGAAAATGGCAGTTGGAAAGAAACGAATTGGCGAAACGCGACGAGAATATAAGTTGTATTGAACCTGATATAGAAGAAATGACAAAAGATGAACTGTGTTACTCGTTATCTAGATTCATATGCGAAGTTATAAAAGAGAATGGTGAAGATTATCCGGGTCAAACAGTATACACGTCTTGATTAACATTCAAATGCATTTTGAACAACAAGGGAAATGTTACAAATTCCTGAACGACGATGCTTTTTTACAAGTTAAAAATACCTTGGATTACACTATGAAACAGAGGGCCGCTGCAGGATTAGGCATTAACAAGAAAAAAGCAGAAACTATTTTAGTTGAGGAAGAAGAACTTTTGTGGCAGAGAGGGATACTAGGCGACAGTAATCCAGCAAGGCTAGTAGACACAATAGTGTATCTAATTGGTTTACACTTCGCTCTTCGGGCTGGAAAAGAGCACAGAAACTTGAGGATGAAGAATTCCCAAATTACTTTGCTGGAAAGAAATGGAGAGACTTGCCTGAGATATTCAGAAGATATCTCAAAGAGTAACCAAGGGGGATTAAAAACACGAAGAATTAAGCAGAAACAAGTCTACGCCTACGATGATAGAACCAACCAAGAGAGATGTATAGTTCGACTATACAAGAAATACATTGATCATTGGTAAGTATATAGATAACCTTTATTTGTAGCACATTTAATGACTTATGTTATGTATAAATTATGCAACAAATTACTATAACATTTCAAGCAATTTACATTTATCAAGCTACGTCCAAATACGAATAATTCAGCCCATCCATGTGATCGACTTTCCCACTTGCGAGTAATGTTACAATCGAAAAGCAGCAGAAAAGACGACTAAATTATTATGATAAACTACTTCTATGAAGTTTTTTTTTTTATCAGGGACATACCATGTTCTTCGACAATGACCCCAAATGTTCTTTTTTAATGACATCATGCCCATCCAAAACAATTATTTGTTTACTAAAAATTCAAAATCAAATAATTTATATTTATAAGAACTCGTACCCCTGAAAAGATGAATGGTAAGTGTCTAAATTTAAAATGTGAATTTGGAGGCGATTAATATTTTTCAAAACCCTAGACTGTTTTTAAGAATTCTGTTGATAACCTTTTAAGAAAAAAAAAATACTCACATATTCGTCCATGTTATGTTACCATATTATTGTTTATAATCCACATAACTTCATGCTGAGTTACTTAAGCTGGGCGCACTCTAAAGGTGTACTTGAACATTTGTTATATTAACTTATGTATACATATTATACTCAGTAAAAAAGGTTAGCAACAAATTTGTAGAGTTTATCCTTTAAAAAAAAAAACGCTTCTAAATATAGACATAAATACATTGCCGTTAAAGAGAAAATATACGATCAGGTGTATTTTTGTTTACATTAGTTTAAAGTTAACAATTTATTTCCCAAATTTTTGGACATTTTTTAATATATGTTTTTTCTTAAGTTAAAATTTTTGTTGCTAATTTTCTTTTACTCAGTATAGTATTAAATATTGCTCGATAGTTGGATGCTTAACGTCCAGTGGCAAATATTTCATGCATGTTCAGGACGACTATATATAGATGTTTAGATGAATTATATATATATATATATAATCCCGGCGAGGGAAGAACAAAAAATTTGCGAAAGCAAATTTACAGATCTAACATTGTTGGGCTGACGTTTAGACGAGTTGTATATATATATATATACAAGTCTAAATTGAAAACAACGTTCAAACCATATATATATATATATATATATATATATATATATATATATTTATAGTATTTAAGGAATCCATTGCTAGCATTGAATACAGTAATTCTGTGTTAATTTAATTTGGTACAGAAACTTTCTTTTCCTATTTAAGGCGTTCAAAATTCTTCACGTGGCATGTGTTTTCGACTCTTAATCTTAATTGAGTAGGATAGTCAGTTTCCCTAACTCCCTTAGAATTAACGTTACAAATAGATATTGTAATACATGATCAATTAGCATAAAAAATTGTATTAAAGATTCATTTTTTTCATTTCAGCCCAGAACAGACAAAAACTAATGTTTTTTATCTGAGGCCTTTATCTAAACCAAAGGAAAACATTTGGTACACAGCACAACCAATTGGAATAAACACCCTAGCTGCAACCGTCGGAAAAATGTGCACAGAAGCAGGACTCAGTGGATTTAGGTCAAACCATTAATTACGCGCAACAGCTGCAACCCGTTTGTATGAATGTGGTGTTGATGAACAAATCGTATCAGAGGTAACTGGACATCGGAGTGATGCTGTAAGGGAATACAAAAGAACTAGCGAGGTAATGCGACGAGACGCATGTGATATTATTCGCGGTGATGTGCCTAAAAAACAGGTAGTGTCGAAAAAAATCTGTATTGGAAACCAGGAATTAGACATTAATATAAATGTTAATGTTAACGTGAATAAAAGTTAAATGTAATCATTATGTCTTTTCATTTTTGTAAGTCAACTTATTTTCAGAGTTATTGGCCTGAAGGTTAAGTGATATGTACTCGTCAGGCAACAATACTTGATAATGATCTATTGTTGCCTTAATGAGTTTTGCCAAAGGCTCTCTCATTGTTCAAACACCGTGGGTTCTTGAAAAAGAATCCACGCTTATTGAATAGAAAAATTTCACAACAATGGTTTAACAAAGGTGAGTGCGGTATAATACACGTAATTTGATTTGATTACCAATCAGATTCTACAATAGATCGGTTTCACCGGCTGTCTATGAACAAAGTGTAGTAGTCAGCCGAGAACCAGCTAATGACTATAAGTCACCCTCAGCTACAATTTACAAAACTTAGATTTTTTGAAATACTAAGGTTTTTCTACCCCAGGAATAGATTACCTTAGCTGTATTTGGCAAAACATTTAGGAATTTTTGGTCCTCAATGCTCTTCAACTTCGTACTATATTTGGCCTTTTTAACTTTTTTTGATTCGAGCGTCACTGATGAGTCTTTTGTAGACGAAACGCGCGTCTGGCGCAAATAAAAAATCTCAATCATGGTATCTATGATGAGTTTATCGAAAGGAACAATGCTTCAATAGTTGATGGTTTTTAGTTTTTAGTTAATAATTTGGCCATCATTCTTCAAATTGTTTTTTTATCTTTTATCTTTTTATCATGGTGATTTTTTTTTATCTATTTAGATCAACACCTAACATTGTGAAAACATTTTCACTTGGCCGACACGAAAAACAGCCATTTTGCAATTGTCCCTCCGGTTGAGTCACCTAATGAATGAAAGCGACAAATAGTTTTGATATTATTTTTTTTCAAGTAACAAATACACGATTATGAAAAAGTTCGAAACAAAATACTGGGCCGGTTGAAGACGACTTTGAGGAGAAAAACCTCGCCGAAAACAAATTGTTTTGTTTAATATTTCATATACATGTATTAAAATAAAATTAATTCGAACATTTCACATTATAGATCCCATGGAATTTTGTTTAAATATTCTCTTCTGGAATCTTTTAAGGTACACGGATGTCTGTGATGCCACTGTGGTGGAGTTTTTATTCCCCGAGGGTATCATCAGCCCAGTAGTCAGCACTTCTGTGTTGACATGAATTATCATTCATATGGTTATAACTTTTCCAAACGTTGAATTTTTGAAATACTAAGGCTTGTCCACCTCAGGATTACCTTAGCTGTATTTAACAAAACTTTTAGGAATTTTTGGTCCTCAATGCTCTTCAACTTCGTACTTTATTTGGCCTTTTTAACTTTATTTGATTCGATCGTCACTCGCGAGTCTTTTGTAGACGAAAACCGCGTCTGGCGCAAATAAAAAATTTCAATCCTGGTATCTATGATGAGTTTATTTAAATTCGATGCAATTAAAACCATTAATCGTGAACATTTTCATTTTTCTTTAATAATAAAGTAGTTATATTAATCCTCATAGATACCAAGATTAACATTTTGTACGCAAAAATACTTATCAGTGACGCTCGAATGAACAAGAATATCAATATGATCGGAATTTTATTAAAAAATATGACACATAATTTATAACGAGATATGTTTTGAATTTCATTAGAAATAAATAATAAGCTGATATTAAAAAAAAACCAAAAAAAAAAAATCGCCAACTCGTTATTTTCTGCATTTAAATCAAAATTGTGTGTTGATCAACATTTAATGTGAGAATTTAAAGAAAAAAGTAAAAAAACAAAACTAACGCACTCCGAGGAATTTTCTTAACGGGAAGTCCCTAAGCAAATGGCAAAATCAAAAACTCAATCACATCAAATGAATGGATAACAACTGTCATATTCCTGACTTGGTACAGGCATTTTCGTATGTAGAAAATGGTGGAATAAACCTGGTTTTATAGCTAGCTAAACTTAAAACACTGTTTTAATTTTTTTCATTGTTTTAAATTATGTGTTAAATTATTTGACTTCGTAATAAAATCGCGTCATTAGTCATAATGTTCTGTGAACTAAGCGCGACCTTACAATTTACAAAATCTCATCACTAAGAGGTTGGTTAATCTCTGATATTTTTGTATTTGAATGCGACGACATAGCTGATATACACATCTCTCTGCTGTGTCTATGTTAGTAGAAGAAGATGTATCTTTGCTCAACGATACCTTATTTGGGCCTATTAGGGCCTAACGGGCAAATGATTACTATCTTTTAATGTATCTGTTCTAAATGGTTATTTCTCAATTATTTCACAAAGTTATTATTTATCGTCACGCTCCAATATCTATCGTTAACAACACGAGAATTTGTTTAAACGTAAACGATATTCAGTGGCAAAATTTGTGACGTTATTCATCGTGAATGTACCTGCTTTACAACTCTCATTTAAAGATTTCTGTGTTGCCTTCAGAAGTGGTCCGAATTATTTTTCAAACTGATCCGAGTTGTCTTTAAAAGTTGTTCGAGTTGTCTTCAAGAATAGTCCGGGTTGTCTTAAGATTTGTCCGTATTGGAATATTTCGAAAAAGAAGCAATATTAATCACTAGGTTGTTAAAATACTAAGTGATAGATGTTGCTGTTCCAGTTATAACACAGTTCAAAGTAATAGGAGTACCAATATTCTGTTGATACTGTGTCGGTGTGGCCTTCACTGATAAAGGCTCTGCATATAATATAAAAACAATACCAATGTCAAATACAACAGTGCTCTTTAGCATTCACTGATAATAGAATCAACAACATTCCTCAATAAACGGTCTGGATTAAAAATCAAATTAAATTTCAATGCATTATACAGCACGCTTCAGCTCTTTTGCAGAGTAAACAATTTTTTCTTATGTTCAATATAACAATGCTTTTTAGCATTCCATAATAAAGGATCTCCAAATAATACAAAATCATTTGTAATTTAAACAGCTTGCAAATCAAATGAACATTACAAATGTGAAATACATTAGTGCTCTTCGGCATTCACAGATAAAGGGTATGACAAAACCCAAAATATTCCAAAAAAAAAAAAGAAAAAAAAAAAAAATACACCACAGCTATTCAGCATTCACTAATAACAGATTGCAAATCAAATTACACTTAAAATGCGAAACACAACAGCGCTCTGTGCGTTTACCGACAAAAGGTTTGTAAATAAAAAAAAAACGTTCTCAATGTGAAATACTACATTTATTTCATTATTCACCGATGACGGGTGTGTATATAAAATACATTCCAAATTTCAATATTGGAAATTCAGATATCTTCGAGTACTTTTATTTGTGCAATTATTGGAGAATGGACAAAACGGCGAGATCAATCATTCCGATTTCAGGAAAATCTGCATACAGACACATGTATCGAAATCCGAATGCGAGTTCTTCTTATTGCGATACTGAGCGGAATAGAAGATATAATTTCGGAATTTACTATAGTTCATTAAAACTGTAATACCGATAACTTGGAAAAAAATACAAAAAAAAAAAAGCAACCCTAAAATGGAATACAACAGTCCTCTTCTGCATTCACTGGTAAAGGGTTTCGGAATAAAATACAGTCCCAATGAAATAAATCAGTACTCTTTCGCAATCACTCATACAGGGTTTACATATTTATTTGTTTTGATAGTGATTAAAATTATAACCCAATGTTGACTGCTGTACCCAAATATTTTACATTTTTACCTATTTTGTCTGTTTGTTTTGATCACACAACCTTGTCAATATAATGGAATTTTATGCGACTGTTATACAAATCAGATGTTTAGCTAGCTATACAACCAGGTTTAATCCACCATGTTCTACATACGAAAATGCCTGTACCAAGTCAGGAATATGCCAGTTGTTATACATTATAAAACAAAAACATTTTCAATTCGAAGAACACATAAGTGCTCTGAAGCATTCATTGATTAAGGGTCTGCAACAAATAACATTCCCAAAGTTAAATACATCATTGCACTTCTATATTTTCTATTATTAATTAACTACTCTGTTATTGGACTTAATATGATGAAAACTGCCTATGCAATATAAAAGTGTCAACTCGGCCAATACAGAATAACTCGGCCAATATTGATTTTTTTCTGTATTGGCCGAGTTCTGATCCGGCCAATACAGGATTTCGGAACGTCTCTAGATCGAAAGTTATGATAAACACAAACTTAAAGTAAACAGTCGTTAGGAAGACGCAGTTTTCATTTACTCACCATAAACATGCCGAAATGTTCAGTGTGGCATATATTTCAGGCTAAAGACGGTCACATTCATTTAAAAAGCATTTTGTAAGCAGACAATTGAATTATTACAGGTTTGGGCAACGAGTAGTTTATCACAAAGTTCATTTCTTGTCGACCTCAGGTACAACCGATTTACTGTTTATTTTCGCTTCTCATGTTTTTCGACCAAAACCAGGCATATTCATTGTGGAAGGGTGACCTGTAATTGTTCAAATCTTCGGTCAGTTACCTTATGGATAGTTGTATCATTTTTAATCATATTCAACTCCTACATTTTTATTAAATAATTTGTTTCTGCATTACACATGCAATGGCAGTACCTTTCCAATTACTATTTATGTGTTGCGTCTAAACTGTAACACTTTATAGTGACTGGTAAGGGTTAAAAAATTCATCAGATGAGAAAATGTAGAAGACGCCTGGAAACAGCATCAGATCATTTGATATTGCAGCTTACATGTATAAACATGATAAAAGGGAACTCAAATTTGGATAGTTCCACTTCAAGGTAAAAATTGGTTTATCTCTTGTGGTATATAAAACAATGTTAACACTGTAGTTAATTAATAAAGGTATCATTACGTGTATTTCTGTATTGGCCTTGTTATTGGTCCTTGGCCAGCTGTATTGGCCTTCGGCTTCGCCTCAGGCAAATACAACAAGCCTCGGACAAATAACAAGGCCAATACAGAAATACTCACGTAATAATACCATAATAAAGGGTCTGGAAATAAAACAAAATATCCTCATGTGAAATAGAACAGATCTCTTCAGCTATCACTAATAAAGGGTCAGCAAAAACAAATAACTTTCTTAATAAAAGACAACAGTGCTACTAAGTATGCAAATTAAAAAGGACATTCCTAATGTAAAATACAATAGCACTCTTCAACATGCACTGATAAAGGGTTTGGTAAAAAAAACCAACACCAAAAAACAATCCATATGGGAAATACAAGACTGCTTTTCAGCATCAACTGATAAATTGTCCGCAATTGTAAATTGAAAATATTGCCAATGTCAACTACAACAGAGCTCTTAAGTATTTATGGATTAATAAAGGCAACAGTAGTATACCGGTGTTCGAAAGTCATAAATCGATTGAAAAAAAAACAAATCCGGGTTACAAACCAAAACCGAGGGAAACACATCAACTATAAAAGGAAAACAAATGAACAACAGGAACACCGAAGTGCGACAAAAACAAACGCAAACACACATAGAAACGAACTATTTGATAACAACTGCAAGATTTGTTATGGAAAACAAACCAAAAAAACGGTAAGGAAAAGAATGTGAAATCTAAGTTATGAATAAACATTTACACTTGAGATATCTAGTATCCAAGTGATTTGTCCTACTTTACCCCGCAGCAGTGCAAACAACTAAAATAAGGCGAGTGTAATATATCAACTTACTATTTTACCAGTCGATGTATTTGTAATGTTTGAACTCTTTTGTTGACTTTTTACAGTAACTATTAAAATCCGCATTTTTTTTCTTTTAACGTTTCCTTTGTAATAAATCTAAAGTAATCTCGTTATGGAAGGATATTTATGCACGATGACCTATAGTTGCTTACATCCACGCCATGTGAACTCTAGTGGATAATGTTTGCATTGTCATTTATAAAAATCTCCTTATGTTTTATAATATACTAAACGTTCCGGGAAAAAACCAGCAAAAGGAATCTTGTTATTATACGTTATTAAGGTGGTACCAAACACCTTGACTAAAATTAATTTGGCTCGTTTAATTTTCATAAAATTTTGACAAAATATTCACTTTGACCCTTTGACAAAAATATAAAAATTTCCAAAAACTTGAACCACTCTTTTTTCGGAAAACTTCATTGGATATATAGCAGTTTGACAAACACTATTTTTTTTATCATTAAGAAGCTTAATACTTTCTTAACAATAGAACGTGATTAAACGTTCAGCTGATTTTTACAGAGTTATTTCCCTGTAGTGTTATACACCACCTTAAAAAAATAATACAAAAATAAATTATAAACCAGTAACATTCTTGTTTGTCTATCTTAATTTATTGCTATTTGTAATAGTTAATTATGTTATACATCACATTGTATTTTACAAAACTCTTTTCGTTCTGTGACTAATGTAATTTAATAGAGGAGAATATGACATGCAGAATGTTTTGAAGCCAAGAATACTGTTGAATGTCCAACATAGCATATACATGGAATTCGAAAATTAAGTCGTGTATACACTATTGCATTTGTTTGTGATCAAAATATATATTAACATACCATTAACTGTTAACTGAAGACTGACTGTCTTATTTACACGTGTCGCTGGATGTTGAACGTGACAATAAAGTGTCTGACCATTGTCTCTGATATTTGGTGCCCACGAAAGTGTAGAGGTAACAGAATAAGTTCCATCTGACTGCAATATTGATGATTGTGTGATTCCTGTATTTATCTGACTGTTACCAATCCACATGGTCATTAAGGGTGATGGGATTCCTCCCGTGCTTATACATGTCCATTGGTAGGTAGTGCCAAGTATTAGAATTTGAGATCCAGTCAACGTTGGGTGATTCGGTTCGGCTGTAAGAAATAAGCAAAATGAGCCATTTTACATTGTCATTTGTAATTTCTACTCTATATTTTCATATATCACATATCTTTTTTTTCAATTATGGATACAATCGCACAAAACGAACTACATCAAGCTGCATAATAAAATAACTAAGTGTTCTCCTTTGCACTGAAATTCAACAAGGAAGTTTGTTATTATGGAATTGAGTCATAATCAATATTTAATCATAAATATCACATACAATATTTCACAATAACGTGACAGGACAAATAAAAGTAGAACATTTTTTTCTGATTCCAAAACTAGCATATTGTATGACGAGATTTTATACGAGTTTATAAAACAAAGAAATGAATATTGAATATATAGAACATTCGTAAGTTTTTGATACTATTAACCGACAAACCTGTGTCATAAAGAGCAAGGCTGAAACGTCACAGCTTCACTAAATAAAACAACACTTTAATAAACAACATGTATAATCGGTTAAAACAGAACCCCAACAAAAACAAAAATAAAATAAAGAATAAAAATATTATATGCTTGAACTAATGTACTGTTAAACGTATTGAGATATAAGATCACTCCCATGATATTTTGTTCATAAAGTTCGGATGACATATATTTTTTATTTATCTTAATCGGTGGTACGAATATCCTAGAATAGCGTGTCTGTATAATAATATACACTATTTTATAACAACATAGTGTCTTTATAATAACGGTATACATTTCAATGTTTAAATGTGCATTTTGACAACCAATGTCTCTTCAGTTGTACTCCATGCAGAACTATCTAAAAATCTAAACCAAACTTAAACGTTGTAGAGCTGATAAACCCACAAACGAATAAAACAAAGTGAAACCAAATCATTACAAGAAATCAGAGCAATGCAGAAGGGAGATAATTCCTTAATTTACGATGATTTTTAAAATTTTATTACAGCAAAAAAAAAAAAAAAACGGGAAACAAACTAGAATTGAGGGAAACACATCAACTATAGAGGAAAATAAATTTCTCATTAAGATTGTCTTCTCGTATAATAAAAAAAAAAGAAGAAGAAATGGTATGATTTGCAATGACACAACTCTCCACAAGAAACCAAACGAAGTAGAAGTTAAAAACTATTGGTTATCACATGGTCTTCAACAATGAGCAAAACCAATGCGTCACAGTTAGCAAGGAGAGGCCCCGAAATGGTAATTCGAGAACAGTTCAAACCAGGAAATAACGGCCTAAGGTATGTGCAATACAATAAATAAAAAATAGATATCATGAACAGCAACAAACGAAAACCACTGAATTACTGGATTTTGACTTGTGACAGGCACATACAGAAATTGGCGTGTCTAACCAGGGACAGTGGTGTAAAAGTACAACATAAAAACACACTACAAAATTAATTTGAAAAGGGTTTAATTCAACAGATCAACAAAAAACAAAACAAAAAAACTAACAAAAACACAAAAGACACAAAGTTTAGATCTGAGGGTACTTGCAGTTACGGAAAACTATTTCAAAACCAATTAAAACAAATGAGAGCATCATGTATCTTATACTATTTTATCAATCAGTACACAATAAATGTCAAATAAAGTTTGTGTAAAGATGTCATTTACAGTCAGAGAAAAACATGACCTTGTACAATACCAAAATATATATCAACAGAATGTAGGACCGTGATTGTACATATGTGAATAACAATGATTTTTATTTGGGAATATTTTTTGATAACAAATCAATATCTATATCGATAAAAACAATATTTCCAATATTAAATACATTATCACTATTTTACGACATTTTCCTTTGATCTTACTGACTGATAATTTCCTTTTTCAGCACAGTAGAGTGATATGACAATTATCGCTAGAAACTAAGGGCGCACGTGCTGTTTTCAAAGTAAAATCAACGTCGTCATAGGTAAAATAGCGATAAACAGATTCTAATTGGTAATCTCAACTCGATTGCTTTTCTCATTTTCGGCGTACCCGCTCAAGCGAGAAAATCAATCTCGTTGAGATGACCTACGATAGTCTATACACATTGCACTTTAAAATTTACAGATAAAGTGTCTAAAAATAAAACAAAAAGGATTCGTAATGTGAAAAACAGCGCACTCTTCATCATTCATCGTAGAGGAGTTGTCAATTAAAAACCAAAAACGTTTCAAATGTGCAATGTAGAAGTCCTTTTTAGCATTCACAGAGAGAGACTCTACAAATAAGCAAAAGAGATTCTCCTTTGTAAATAAAACCGAAACATTCCCAATATGAAATACAACACTGCTTTTCAGCATTAAGTGATAAAGGGTCTGCACATGAAAACCAAATAATCATTTTCACTGTCAAATACAACAGAGCTCATACGTATTCATCGAATAAGTGTCTCTAAAGAAAAAAAAAAGGAAATGAAATTAAAGTTATGAATACACTTGAGATATCTTGTTTCGAAATTATTTGTCCTAATTACGCCATATCAGCGCAAAAAAGACAAGTGAAATATTTCAATTTACTAATTTATCAGTCGATGCATTTGATACGACTGAAGCCATTTGTTGACTTTTTTTTGCATGTTAAAAAATCCGTAATTAATATTTCTTTTCACATTTCCACTTTCCTCGTGGTTGAAGGCCGTACGCACGGTGATAAAAAGTTTCTTACATCCCCGTAATTTGAAATGTGATGGATAGTGTTCGAATGGTCAATCATACAAATCTTTTTATTTTTTATATTAATCAGTCGGGCAAAAGCCTGCGATAAAATCCTGTTATTGCACATTCTTGGAGGAAACCAAAAGTCATTTTTTTAAAAGAGGGGTCATTGTACTAGTTTTCAAGCTTATGGTTTAAATCAGTAGAAAAAATGCATCTTTTACCAATATGTCATTGTTTATCGTCTCGAAAATAACCTTAACGTTAGCAACGTGATTATCTCCCCTGTAACTGTATCGTAGGTCTTTAATTATAGATAAGCATACCATTAACTGTTAACAGAAGACTGTCGGTTTGGCGGCTATTACCACTTGTCTCTGGATGTTGAACATGACAATAAAGTGTCAGACCATTGTAACTGATACTTGGTGCCCACGACAGTGTAAAGTTAACAGTATAAGTTTTATCTGACGACTGCAATTCTGATTTGATATCTGTATTGATTGATGAGATATTATAATTGAACTGACTGTCACCAATCCACATGGTCATTGATGGTGATGGAATTCCCCCAGTGCTTATACATGTCCATTGGTAGGTAGTGCCAAGTATAAGAACTTGAGGTCCAGTCAACGTTGGATGATTTGGTTTGGCTGTAAGAAACAAGTAAAAGGTATCATTTTACATTACAATTTACCATTTCTAGTCAGTATTTCAATATAGCAAATATCTTTGTTTTCAATTATTGATACACTCACACAACACGAACTGCACCTAGCTGCATACATAACATAACTTAGTGTTCTGTTTGGCACTGAAATTCAACAAGAATATTTTTATATTATGGAATTAAGTCCAAATCAATATTAAATTATACATATCAGACACAATAGTTCCTTATAACGTTATAGGATAAGATAGAGTTAGAACACTTTGTTTTGATTCCAACACAAACATAATGTATGACGAGATTTTTTCCGAAATTATAAAAAAGAAAAGAAATGAATATTGAATATATAGGACTTACATTTAGTAACGACATATTCACCGATAAACCTGCATGATAAGCAGCAAAAATGAAATGTAATGGTCACTTTAAATGAAACAACACCTTGAACACTATGTATAAGATATTAAAATGGAACTCCGATATGAAAAACTAAACAAATGAAAACAGTTTTTTTCTAAATTTTAAGATTTGTAATGGTTTATGTAATCCGATATAAGCTCATTCCCATGTATTTCGTTAATACAGTTATGATAATATATCGTGTTCCATCTAAATCAGTGGTACAGAATTAGAGAAGACGTTACTAAGTTGAAAAACCTGTGTCTTATCCATTTGTCCGTTTTGAACAATAAAATATGTTTAAACTAAAACAGAATATCATGAAACAGCGTGTCCACGGGTAGTAACGTCGTGATATCGATGAGCGTTTAGTGCAGTGATTTTTTTTATAGTTTGGTTAAGTTCGACATTACTGTGTTAAGTTTTTTTTATGACAAACAATGACATAATATAAACATTCCGAATTTTTGCTTAATGAACTTCTGAACATAAATTCAAGCTTGTAAGTATTTTTGTTTATGGCTAATATGTTAGTACATTAAAATTTGTATCATATAGTTAATAATTTGACACAGAATAATACTTGCGTATGTCAAAACTTAAAAGTTGTTATCCGTTTCTTATGCATAAAGAAAAGTGATTTGTTTACTGCCTGTTACATCACATATTTCATTATGATAAAAATCTGCCGTCAATTATTCTAAAAAAAACCTACATTTGCACACATTTCAAGATCACTAAAAATTCGGTGTCATGGTTTAGTGCATGTTTGACATGGTTCAGTTCTGTGATTCCTGTCGTGTATCAATATAAACAGACATTATACAACTATTAAAATACCGTTAAAAAATATTTTCGCGACTACTTTTTCCGCTTTTATCCTATTTTGCGGTGTAATACCACCAATTTATAGTACGTCACATCCGGTTGCATACGAATAAGGGTGGAAAAAGAATATTTCCTTGAATTGATAATTGTAGGAAATTAATCCTACATTTCATGGTTTTGAAAAAATTCTTAGTCATAAACATATATCTTGGGTGCTTCAAAGCATAATTTTTTTTATTTCGTGTTTCTATAGAATATATTTAAAACTTGAGGTTACATGGTTACAAATGCTTGAACAAAGGAAAAAAAGGAGTGAAAATTTGATTAGTTAAATTCCAGGGATAATATTTTTTTTTATTTGCAATGGAATGTTATGTAAAAGTTGTCTATCGTACTGCACAGGATAAAACTTTACTCATGCCAAGTATTTCTATATTTGTAACACAGATAAATTCTGCACAATTGTTTTGAAAATTGCATATTAAACAAAGACTTATAAGAGAAAAACAATGGTGGTTTTACACCTTTTATTGAGGCAATATGTCGCGCCATTTCCTAATGTTGTTGTTTTGTTCCCATAAAAGCAGACCTGAGTTTCATATATTAACGTTGATAATATAGGATAATATACCAATGCCTTTCAATTGCAATTTTCTACAAAAATAGTTTTATTTTGGATTACAAAAGGACCTAAGAAAGCACATAGTAAATAGTAATTCAAATGAGAAAACCAACAGCCTAATTTGTGTTCAAAACAATAAGCGAAAAATAAATATGATATACAGTAACAAACGACAGCTACTACATTACACACTTTTGACTTAGGACAGGCACATACGGCGACGTTTAATCTTAACTTGGGCAGTGTTGTTATAACACAACAAAAAAGAACAAACTATAAAAATGAGTTGAAAAGAACTTGACTCTTCAAATCGATGCAAGGCAAAATAATCAAGTCAAATAAACACCAAAGACACAAAGAACCGATCTGTGAGTATTTGCATTGCAAAACGTTACTTTTTTTTTATCATTTCACAGTAGAATTCTGTTGCCAATATTCAACTTCATCAATCTTATTCTCTGCTATTAAGAACGATGATTTCTCGTCTAGTCGTTTCAAAAAATAAGGCCATACACAGTTTAAACGTACTTTTACTAAACAAAATAATACGTGTATCTTGGAATCCAAATGACTTTTTTCAATCAAATTTAATAAGTTACTTTTAAATTTGCATACTAAATACTAGAACGACAGAGCTTTTTCTGATATTATCATAACTTTAATGCATAAAAGAAAAAAAAAAATGCTGATACGGGTTTAGTGATATTACACAACACACTTATACAATATGACAAAAAAATAATCATATTTATTCATTCGTAATAATAATTGATAAAATTGGACAGTATATCGAACTATATCTAATTCGAAACTGTGATCTTTCATATATTTAATTTCGGAACTTTAAAAGTAATTTTCACAGTAATTTCACTTATAGTTTATCAAAAACAAAGTTGTAACTGTTGTTCATGTTAACATGTTTTACGTGGAGGGTTGAAGACTGTGTGTGGTACCCTCTCGATATCGTTACGTGAGATCCGTAGTTCGGTTACTGTATCATGGGTATATAACCCCACATCTCCATTTATTCACCATAGACATAATCTGGTTTAAATAAAAACAACGAATGTATAGTTTGCTAGAAAAGTTACTAGCTGCTACGTTTTGCAACTTTAAGTAGACGTCTTTAATCATTCGACTAGTGAAACCACTCACGATATCCCCGGCCGAGTTCATCATGGAATTATGGGTGAAACAGATGCAACGGTTTCTGTTTTTGTAATTTATTTTATCGATGGCCAGTTGAAAAGAACAGTGGCTATATAAATTATATCTTAGGAACACACCTAAAGTAAAATGCATAAATGTACGGCCAGGTTTGCCGATTACAATTTGTTTTATACTTTTACAACCATCTTTGTTATATGAACCTTTTGTAAGGATTGAATTAATGGTGATCAAATAAACGTGAAGAAATTGGTATTGTACATACTGTAGACTTGGAAGTACCATGTTGAACTCAGAACATTATCAACCGTACATTCAAACAGTGCCAGGTGGTGCGTTTTTTCAGCCAGAAAGGTATAGGTGTTTGTTGTTACTCCATTTGCTGTTGTCCATGAATCATCTAACAGTTGGTTGTTTTGGTACCAATATACTTGGGTACCATAAGTTGAATTGCATGTCAATGATACAGAATCGCCCTCAACTTTAAACGTTGGGCCGGTGATAACTGTATAACCGGGAGCTACAAAATATACAATACAGAAATATGTGTCTATTATTAGAGTACGGGAAAATAACCCAAATTAACGCAACTGTAGTATACAGCTGTTCAATAGTAATAATTCGATTAAGCAAAAACAAATCCGGGTAGCAAACCTTAACCGAGGGAAACATGTCAACTATAAGAGGAAAACACCGTAACAACAGAAACACTGAACTACAACAAAAAAAAAAACTTCAAAATACATAGAAATGGACTGTGTAATAACAACTGCCGAATTCATGACTTGGTACAGGACATTTTAAGAAAAAAAATAGTGGTTGTAACCTGGTCACATGCTTTTGAAAAACAGGCACACTATATGTATGGTTCCTTTCACTGCATACTTAGGGTGTAATACAACTATTTTAACCTTTCGGGGAATTAATCTGCTCTATCACTCTCTCAGCAACATGTATTTCAAATGATTTACATCGGTAAATGTAAAAAGATATAAACGAATGTGTGCTGAAATATAGAATTGAACAAGATACTGTCCTGAATTTCATTTTTGTTTGTTTCAATTAACGTTGCTTGGATTGAAATACTTAGGGCTGCACTTTGTAAATACAGCTGTTTCTCAAACCACGCCTCTTTTGGGGAGATATATAATTTTCATAGATATGTTAATTTGTTAACGTACTGGTTCCCATTTATGATTTCTGTGTTTCATCTCATAGAGACATCACTTTGGAATGTAACCAGTATAGAAAAACATGGTAGCGCCTAAATTTTAATTCTTAGGAGGTCCAAAAATGGAGGTAAGGGTAGTATAGAATTTTAGTATAAGTTTAAACTCTTAGAAGTTCAGGGCATATAAATGTTAAAAATATGCCGCACAGCCCTATGTTTTGACCTTTGAATAAAATAGTAGTGCATATAAACTTTCCGTTCTAGGATATTATTTTTCACGAAACTTCATAGTAAAAGTGTCACAGTTTTAGCCGCAAAGGGAGTTCGTTCCTATGGGAAATTGCATTGTCTATATTTACAGAATTGCAACCTATAGAGGTGAAAAGAAAGAAAAATGAGTTTTATTTTAAAATATGAAATATCATTCTTTCATAATTCCATTAACTTACAACTATTTATGAACGTACATGTCCAATCAATAGTTTTAAAATCATATAGATCGTTATAAATATCCCCCAAAAATATGTGTAAAATGAGCGCTATGTATCCTCTAACTGTCTGTAACTATAAGTATATACTTGAAGGAATTCAGTGATTAGTGGCTATACTTAATAAGAAGCATGTTTATATAAACAAGATTTAGATTTAAACTTACATTGACAAAAAGATAACGTTGTGAGGGACAAAAACACCAGTGTATGTAGAACATATGGTTTACTGGTCCAAAAACATGTCATCTTTTCTGATGGTATGGTGACAATCACCCTTTTTGAATAATGTCCTATATTGGAGGCTGCAAAGAAAAAAAAGGAAAATATTGCAAAAGTAATAAATAAAATCAAAATAAATTAATAGAAAACACACTGCTATCAGAACAATCACATGTTTATAAGAACAAGGAATTGTACAGACAGACAATTGTTTGGGCGGTGTATTTTATGTTTTGAACACCAAGTAAACAAAAATAATTTTGAAATTAATTGTAAATGTAGGGTAAAAAGGTGATTATTTTGCTTTGGCTTCAATTATCCTTCAATATATGGCTTATTTATGTAGACGGGGACCTTTTTGAGGTACATTTAATTATTACGTTTAAAACTAAGATAATCGTATACAGGTGAGGTTTAAAAATTGAACGTTAATATGTATAAAAAACACTGTACCATACTAAGGTTGCGTTTAAATATATATAAGGTTAATTGTATTTACTAAACGGCATTTTAGAGTACCTTTTGTTGAAAATAAGAACGATAAATTCAACCATATGTGAGCCTTTATACCAAGATAGACATAAGAAGATGTGGTATGAGTGCCAATGAGACAACTCTCTCATTCAAGTCACAATTTGTAAAAGTAAACCATTATAGGTCAAAGTACGGTCTTCAAAACGGAGCCTTGGCTCACACCGAATAGAAAACTATAAAGGGCCCCAAAAATAACATGTGTAAAACCATTCACACGGGAAACAAACGGTCTAATCTATATAAAAAACGAGAGAAGAGAAATACTTATGAACCACATCAACAAACGACAACTACTGAACATCAGATTTCTGACTTAGGACAGGTGCAAACAAATGCAGCGGGATTAAACGTTTTAATAGGTACCAACATTCGCCCTTATTTGAAAAAATACACAACAACATAAAAAAGACACACTATAAAATCATTTGCAGAGTATAAACTGGAATGAAATTGATAAAAGTGAATATCAGAGATTAAAGGAATTAAATTTGCAGCAAAAAAAAAACTGAAATAGATAATCTTACTATTGAAAACATTGATGAATTTGTGATTTCTGCCTGTGAGATAATTACTCAAACAGCTGATACGCTACAACCGCCTAATAGAAGAACACGTAGGAAAAATAGTAGATATTGGACTCCGAATATGACGGAAATTTCAAATCGTAGTAAATTTCATTATTGGATGTGGAAACAAGAGGGAACATCAGATAAATCAAGCATTCATTATCAACAAATGAGAGTATTTCAAAAGAAACTCAGATTACAGCAGAGGAAAATAGAATCTGCTAAGAGACAGTCTAAATTTACTAAAATTATGTCGTTATCTGACAGAAATGATCAAAATTTCTACACTTTAATTAACAATCAGCGAAACATGCGCTCTTCCATGACATCTATTCTCAAATATGACAATAATATAATTAATACTGAGGAAGGAATTTTCGATACCTGGGCTTCATATTATGAAAATTTAGCCAAGTCTGTCGATAACCCGAACTTTGATAAAACATATAAGCTTATTGTGGAACAGGACATATCAGCCTTGACTGATACTTATACTGACAATAGAGATACTCTGGCCCAGTCTCAGAAAGGGAGGTGGTACAAGTTGTTAATTCACTTAAGAATGGAAAAGCACCTGATGCTTCTTGAGTAACCTGTGAACATCTAAAATTTGGTGGAAAAACTCTCTCACGTCTTAACATCTATCATAAAATTCTCATTTTGAAATCATCTTATACCAACTATATCTAAAAATAGACTTGCCTGTCCTGTTTATAAGAAAAAAAGGAAACCGAAAGAGGATCCTGGTTCCTATAGGAAAATACCTATTACTAATCCCGTTGGGAAATTAACAGAAAAGTTACATCTTGTCAGGAATAAGGACAATATTTGCAATATACAAAGTCTGTTAAAGAAAGGCTTTACTCAAGGTAAAATACCACAGGTGGCTGCACTTGTTCTTATCGATTTACATACTGAAGCTAAGGAGAATGGGGATCCACTCATCATTGCACTAACAGATGCTAAAAGCGCTTTTTATGTGGTCTGACACGATGGTCTTCTCCGAGAAATGAATAAAGCTGGCCAATGCGGCAACAATTGGCTTCTTTTCAAAGACTGGTATAAAGGTCTCTCGACCACTTTATACAAAGTCTAAAACCCTTCATCAAAGATGTTGTATCAACTAAACTATACGATGAACTACTTTGTTCTGAAATTAACACTTTACAGTTAATTATCGACTACAGTGGATTTCATTTTCTGATAAGTGGCGAAATATTTACAGTGGAGTGCATCACCAGAGGCTTATGTTTTAGTTACATCAGGTGCGATCGACTCTTTTGAGGTAGTACTACATGTAATTAACCAATTGATAAGAATAAGTTTAAAGAAAATAAAGTGCTCATCAGGGACCATGTTTATTTGAAATGGCGCAATGAACATTTATAGGTCAATTTACTTGAGCTCCAGTTTCTGTCGTGCATATATCATGGAATGTACTTATTTACGTGTGTAAATAGAGGTGGTGGTTAATGTGTATGAAAGAATCAATTATAGTGCATTGGATTAATTGACAATTTAATCATATTCACACTGAAAAGTGGGTCCTCTGATATAGGCGGAACAGTACAGACTAAAGTAAAGTAAAGTTGTTCATAGAACAGAAGTGAGAATTTATAGTATTACCAAACACTTATCAACTGGTATATATCAAAAATAGAGAGACGAGATATAACCCTAATTAAGTAGATATGAAATAACAAAAAAGCATTACAAATTGTATCAACAGGTCAAATTAACAAGAAAGTACGATTTGAGAATACTCGCAGTTACTGAAAGGTAGTTAAAACAATTAATAATAAAAAAATCATGCATCAGAGACTAAAATCAACTAAAACACATCCCAGGGATTTAGTATCTCGACGGCATTGACAGCCAAAGAAGATATGACTTGTGCAATGCCGAAAATAAAAGTATCGACAGGTAGTAGGATAGTTAGGAGTTAACCTCTATATAGAAACATGAACGTGGATGTGTATTTATACATCGAGTTTGAAAAGAATACAAATTTCGTTATGTTTTAATTTGCTGATGACAAAATCGATATAAGTGCCAATGTAAACTATATTCAAAGATCTAATAACAACATTAAAGGTTCGATCAGTTTATACGGATCACGTAGTGATTTCCGCGCTTTTAGTACAATATTACCGTAAAATTTAGGACGTTTTTAATAAGTTTTCTACAGGTACAGCCAAATTTCACAAGAATTCACATCCGTTTCTAGTTAATTTACCTTCAAAAGGTAAACCATTTAGGGCATATAATACAACGACACATGTACAGTGGACAAGAACAGATGGAAATGCACCAAATGTAACGGGCCGTTGTTTTCGTAACATTGGTAGTTATAACTATATATGCTATATTGACTTCGGCATTACTTTATTTCATTCTATGATCTATTTCAAGCGATAAAAAACATAAATGTTTTAGTCGAAATACTATTTTACTAATTTTAAGCTCAAATTGGACTGGTAGTAACATATGGGTTTTTCAAAGAAAACTGCATATGAATATTACCAATGGCCAATATACTTTTTTTATTCTCAATATCATTGTTCTTTTTATTAATTTCTTTTTAAAAGCAATGTGCTTACCAATAGTCATATTTTTACCAGAGGTTTGTTCATTCAATAAAAATAAATAAGTCCAAACCTAAAACATAATTGAGAACATTGTCCCCCCTTTTTTCTTCCAATTGGAAAGGGACATTCCTGGTATAAACCATACTTCTGTGGTACAAAATAGATTAATAAGAGACATTTATATATCCCTCAGCTGGATAACTTGCTAAACTGGTTCAAAATTGCATGTGCAGTAGGATTTTGTAAATCTTAATATGAGTTTATACCATTTTCCTAGATTGTAAAGGCTACCATAAGAAAACCAATAAAACTTGAAAAATAATAAGATTATTTGACCAAGAGCTATTGTTTTACCATAAACAAGTCATGATATACATGGTTTATTGATTTCAATCCCAAATAATGCAAAATAAGAACTTGGAGTCAAGTCTTAACTCATGCATGTTGTATGACCATAAAAGGCTTAAATACCTTATTATGTCAATTTAAGAGCTGAAATTTCCCATAAACAGAATTGTTCATCCAAAAAAGATAATTAAACATGATAACTGACATCAAATATGACTAATTTTCATTGGAATAGGCACAACTTCTGAAAATTGAATTTCTGATGATTCTCTGTAATAGGAAGTACACCAATAATTCAGTGTCCCATTGCTTTCTATGTTAAATTCCTCAATTTCAAACAGGCACAGCTCTTTTGTTTTAAGTTCAAATAAAGTGACAATCATTGCATGTCAAAGCAACACGTTAGGGTGTCTTGTACTGTATTTTTTCAAAGTGAATAAGAGACAGTCTGCATTTAAGGAATTTACTAATATGCGCGTTAACAATAAAAAACTTTGCAAAACACTTCAAACTAAAATACCTTAAAAAAAAAGACCAAACTCAAATGCGAACTTTTAAAACAATATTCAACGTTTAAGCAGTTTCTTTCAGGACTCTTTAGTTTATACGTTTACAAAATAACGTTCTGTTACATAGAAATAATAAAAAAATTAGTTAAAATATAACTAAAACCATATTATATAATGTTCACATTTCACTCTTATAACACCAAACAATGACAAATGCAAGCTATAGGAGTTTGATGTAAATTTAGTGTCCAAAATGTTGCAATGCGACTATATTCCTAGCAAACAATCTAAAATAATGTGTTCTTATGGCCATGGGCCTCCCCAGAACATGTCAGTTTATAAGATTGGGGTAATCATTTTTAATCTCTAAATAGAAATATATTTTCTGAAAATAAATCGATTCTACAGGAGCTTAATAATTTAGAATAAAAATCATGTTTTTAATGAGTTATACTTTAAGATCACATAGTCTGAATTACTTAAGTATTAAATCTTTAAAGAATGGCAAATTCATTTGATCAACTATGATAAACAATGA